TCATACCTTTCATGAACATCTGAAAAGTTTACTTTAACAGATTACTGCAGTTGAAAAAATTTATATATTCACAGCATACATAGATAGAGGAGATACATATGTATCTATATCAAAAATCATATCTAAACAACCAGAGGTATGGAAGATGTACCTTATATAGCACCAATCTAAGTGATTTTCACTGCTGTGTGATCGGTATGTAAACCCGTAACACAGTTTAATGGGTTTAGCTTCCTACATAAAGGAGATATATCGCAAAAACTGGTATCTGAACAATCAGTAGTACACGAGATAAAGCTTGTACAGCATATACTTTGACGATTTCCGCAAAAGACCTTGTATTATTATTTATAAAAAAGCTTACGAAATTTATCGGTTTTAGCTGTCCAAATATAGTAGTTTTAGATACAGTAAAATCCCATATCTGAACAATTAGTTGTGTGGAGGCAATAAATAGTTTATACAGTGACCCGATCTTTACTAATTTTACTGTAAATTTTATGTTAATAATCCTAAGTGCATAAATGGAGAAGTTATGGCAAAAAATTTCATATCTGAACAATCAGTTGTATGGGAGCTATATGTTATAGTGCTCCCACCCACCAAAGTTCATCCGGGTATCTCGAAAACTGAGAGACTAGATTGCATACAAACAGACGGGCAGACGGACATACGGACATGGCAAATCGACTCAGCTCGACGTTTCGATCATTTAAATATACATTTTAATGGGTATATCTCTTCTCGTTCTGATACTTACAAACATCGGACCAAAGTTATAATACCATTTCATGCCCATGAAAGGTATAAAAATTGTATGCGGATCTTTTAAGAGTAAGCTCTTCTGTGATCTGAGGTAAATTTTAAGGAAGTTATTTTAAAAAAACTAAATTTAATTAATTAATTAATTAATGGTAGCGATATTTTTTTATGGAAAGTGGTGTACGCTAATATGCATATACATATTGCTGCTTTCGACCAACGATTTGACAAAAGCGTTACACACATACAAACATATCTACATGTACACGTGCACGTCCGTATTTATTTACGTGCTTCTGCTCATATTTCTTTCCGTTATCGTTCCAACAGGCATATACGGACATATTTTTGATTTTGCTTCTGTTGTCGTAAATATTTGCACTTCCATTTATTGCTTTTGTTGTTATGTTTTTTATGAAATTCCTTTTGCGAAATGCTACTCAATTAGTTGAGATTTAATTTTTAATTATATTTTATTTTTTTCTTCTTATTTAAAAATATTTATTGTTGGTGGTTTTGTGATGCTTTCCGCAATAACAAATAATTTTTTGCGAAGAGGAAAAGAGGATGCCACTTATAATAAATATATAGTTGTGTTCTATTGTATCTGTACACACAAATATGCTCAAAATTTACTTACTTAAAAATCGGCATAATAATTTAAAAAAAGGAGACCACAGGAACAGGAAAAGGTGTATGATGCGAGTTGCTGCGATAAGTGACTCGATTGTCACCCATATTTATTTAGCAAAAAATTTACTTATTGAATTTTTTTGAAAAACACGACTTCAATTCCCATATAAAAATCTAAGAGTATCGTTAATATCTTCAAAACTCAATGATCGGTTGTAAATTAAACTAGAGTCGGACCACCTGTGAGGTACCACCTTTCCCTTAAAAAAATAATTATAGAAATTGGTAAACGTAGCCAAAAGTTATGCTGTAACATACATAAAAAAAATACTCCGACAAATTGATAACCTTCCTCCTTTTTGTCAAGTCAGTTAAAAACAAAATAGTTAAAAAAACTTTGAAGCGAAAAGCCCACAAAAAAACCCCGCTGTCAATAGCAGTTGCATAGAAATGCATCAAAGTTTTTGGGTGCACTTTCGCTTGAACGCTCAACAAAGCTACAAAGCGCGCGCGAAATAGTTGAAGCTTTGAATAGTTGCCACCGCAGCGCCCCAAAGTATTTTCGCCACAATATTTGTGTCGTCGTTTGTAGTGGTGCATGCGCATTTTAGTGGAAATTTGGTTTGTGCCATTGGCGAGCGTTTGTGATAAAGATGATCCTTCTCAATATATGTATCCATTCACACTGCCTTTTTTGCCATACTCGCTTTCGCATAACTTGCTTGCCGTAGTCGTCTAATAAAAGCTCAAAGTGTGGTGGCATTCGAAAGTAAAATGTTTACCACAGTGGCGTGGCGGCAAGGGTATGCTTACCAAATTTAGTGGTAAGACGCACCAAATGCGAGTTCAGCGTTGCTTAGAAATCTCTTAGATGCTGTGAAAATAATTTAATACTGCACTCGGCAGTTGGTCCAACAGGCTGACTGGCTGGCTGAACCACAGGATGGATGGGTGAGGGAAGCAAATGTATGTGTTTCTATTGACGACAGAAATTCCTAAACTAATTAGCTTTGCAAAAATAAAATGACTTGCACTTTGTTTTTGTTGCAGCTGAACACATAAGTATGCTGATTTGAGAAAGTTTTCCGTATATGTATACAGATTCGTTTGACTCTTCATTGGTTTTTTGCTACACTGGGGAGCTGTGTAGTGGCAGCTGAGCTTCGGGAGGAGCGCTGCATAAAATGGCATAGAATGAAATAAAGTGAAAGAAGTGAAAAGAAATTAAAAAAAAAAAATAAGGCAATGAAACTACATAAAATGGAATGAAATGAATATTAAATTAGCTACGCCAGAATTCTGACTGAAAACTTTCTGAACGGAACATAATGGAATGGAATGGACTAGAATGTAATGGAATAAACTATAATCAGAAATTGTGAATTATCCCTCATTTGAGCTGACCCTTTGATGATCTCCCCACCCAGGGAAAGTAGTGCATGATTCAGCAAAGGGATCCGAAGTTGAACTATATTGACAGATTCGTAGTAGCTGCGAACTAGCAAATACGATTACCGAATTCTGTCTTAACTTTTTGACAAATTTAAAGTCTTCTGGCCTTCCCACAGAATTGCTAATAAAAAACTCTTGAGTTTAACTGAGCGGTTTTTACTGCAATCTATTTGAACTGAAATCTACATCAGACTAATGGTGCTTTCTTTGCTACAAAAATTTTGCCTTTTCATTGTCCTCTTTTTAGTATTTGTGCGAAGAAGTCAATGAAAAGATACAATTTTTCGGCAAAAAAGAAAACAGCATAAGTTTCTTTTACTTTTTATACTATTTTTGAACTAACAATGTTTTATATTTTTTCTACTTTTCATACTACTAATGTCTAACACTTTTTCTAATTTTCATACTATTTACTTTAGAACTACTAACAATTTTGTTAAGATATATGTACTTAAATGTTGACTCTTTTAAATTATGCCGATTTTAATTCAGCTCTCTTTCTTTCTTCATTATCCCGCCTACGATCTCGTCTCTGAGTATACTTGTAGTAAATCAATTCGCCGATGAATGCGAAAATACTCAATATCAGGCCAAAAATCAATGGCAACACAAGACCAACAAAATTGTCCATATCCAATTTGACTGGACCCACATCGAAATTCATATACATTGAAGCTTCGATTTCTTCTTGCTGTTGTCCATCCATATAATAGGCGCCTACCTCCCATTCCCAAAAAATATCCAAACCTGTTGAATGCACTTCCAATATGACGTCATTTAACTTGGAGAGCATAGCCCAGAGACGTGGCACAAAGACGAAGCAGTACTGAAAGTAAATATCGTCTACCATTAGCTTAAGGCGTTTAAAAGATTCATCGGTGAGGAACTCAACGTTGCCAAAATGACCTAAAAATGTAAAAAAAATAAATCAGCATGGTCGAGGGGGTCAAATACATATAGAATTTGAAACAAAGAAATACATATATTTGAAGCGGTTGATTTTAAACCAGGTTGTAGTAATTCTGTGTAAAAAGTGGTGTTACATGAAACAATAACAATAGCAACGCGATGTGTAAAAACGTATTTGGTGTCATGCGATGCTATGTCATGTTGCCGATGTGATGCATGGTGCTACCGTATTAGGTATGTAGTTAATTAATGAAACTGATACACTTATTGAAGACAAAAAAAACAGTGACATAATGTCATGTGATGTGTCGTATGATGTGATGCCATGTTGTTGATGTGTCGCATAGAGGTTACATTAAATATGACGCTACCTGGGTTCTTTAGAGGTTAATNAAAATACATATATTTGAAACGGTTGATTTTAAACCAAGGTTGTAGTAATTCTGTGTAAAAAGTGGTGTTGTTACATGAAACAATAACAATAACAACGCGATGTGTAAAAACGTATTTGGTGTCATGCGATGCTATATCATGTTGCCGATGTGATGCATGGTGCTACCGTATTAGGTATGTAGTTAATTAATGAAACTGATACACTTATTGAAGACAAAAAAACAGTGACATAATGTCATGTGATGTGTCGTATGATGTGATGCCATGTTGTTGATGTGTCACATAGAGGTTACATTAAATATGACGCTACCTGGGTTCTTTAGAGGTTAATATGATAACTCAAAATTGGCATATATAAGGTTACATTAAATATGACGCTACTTGAGTTATTTAGAGGTTTATATGATAACTCAAAACCTACACCATATGATCAGGCAATTAAGGAAACTGTCTTTCAATTCACCACAGTTTTTAGAAAGTCGAAATCCACCATACACATACATATATTTTTGCCTTAAAATAATAAAATCCAAAAGTTCAGAGAAACTTTAATTAAATAAAAAATGTATATGCCGTACTTTGGTCTCTTCGCCATTGCGACCGTTGGAGCAGCGCGAGCAAAATATTTTACAAGCGCTTTCTGTCAAAAAAGCTTTTCACCATGAAAATTGGTAAGGCAGATTTTTTAGTAAGACTTTCATGTCATACAAATACTTTCGACTATCTTATGGTCNCCTTTCAATTCACCACAGTTTTTAGAAAGTCGAAATCCACCATACACATACATATATATTCGCCTTAAAATAATAAAATCCAAAAGTTCAGAGAAACTTTAATTAAATAAAAAATGTATATGCCGTACTTTGGTCTCTTCGCCATTGCGACCGTTGGAGCAGCGCGAGCAAAATATTTTACAAGCGCTTTCTGTCAAAAAAGCTTTTCACCATGAAAATTGGTAAGGCAGATTTTTTAGTAAGACTTTCATGTCATACAAATACTTTCGACTATCTTATGGTCTGATTATGCATACTTCGCGTAACTTCGCACAACTGTAATTTCGTATGTACTTTGTATGTATTTTGTATGTATTCCATTACCCAGAAATTAGCAGAACTTTTAAAAACTTAGCGATCTGTTGAGTTTAGATTTTGCTTCACATTTTCTTAAGTTACATTTTAGTGCACCGGTACAAATGGTTGTGCGAAGTTATGCGAAGTATGCATAATCAGACCCTTAGGCAGAATTGACTTTCTTGTAAATATGGTAAATATGATGGTGGCTTTACGTGGAATTGACTCCTCTGTCATGAGGCAATTATTCATTTGTAAAGTTGTGATATTTGATCAACTAAAGTGATCGTATGTCACTGAAATGATATTATGAAATAAAAAGCTATCAGGCAGGTTATGCAATTCACTTTCGAGTGAATTTCAATCAAATACGCTTTGTATTCAAATTGGTAGGGGTTGAAATTCACTCGGAATTGAATTACAGAAGCTGCCTGTATGTATTGTTTGTTGGTTTGACAGAGCAGCTTGTAGACGAAAGTTATGTGACATCATAGAAGTGAGTATTAAAACATTGTATGTATTTATATATGCGACATCATTTTAAACGGAATTATGTTATTGAAACGGGATAATGTAGGCTGATGTCATATAATTGATATGTTATGTGAAGTCATGGAATAACGTTTTATGTGACAAAACTTTCATGTCGAAAGTTGTATCAATTGGAGCGATATGATAAACTTTTGTCATCTGAGGGTCAATATAATTATATATATATATCAATATAAATTCATGTGTTGTCGACAGACTGTCACACTCGACTCACCAAAAGCCAATCGTTCCAAGATAAAGCCCATATTTTCAGTTTTAGCCAATTCAGTAGTTTGTTCATAAGTGTAAACGCGGTAATTCCTCAACAAATCTTCAACAAATGGCTAGAAGAAAATTCAATTATAACTGTAGTCTATTTACATATTTGTTGCTATACAAATTAAACCCACATCAGTATTTCCTTCTCCTCTGAGTGAGATTACCCAATCAGGTGATGTTGCAGTCCATGGAATACCATGACTATGTAGACGTTCTACTGAGTCAGCAGCTTCCTCCAAGCTATTCAAGAATATTTATGCGGTGGTGAAATAGCATTTAAATAGCAAAACACTTACGTTGGCAGCGTTAGTATTGCCGATAGTCCGCCACCATAGACACTCGTCACAATCGTATCGATCGTGTAGCATGCAAAGAGCACCATGCGTACCGTATGCGAATTGACTACATAGTCCGAGCCCTGCGATACAAAAAGTTTAAGCGTAGTAATATAACCAAATTGAAAACTCTCCAGTAAACCATATTTAGGCTCGTCATCCGAAGGAGCCATATAGCGTGTGAAAAAGAGTGCCAATGCCTCAAGGAACAAGCAAGCAATCACGCCTAGCCATAGGGTCAATTGAAATGGCCGAAATGGTAGTAACCAGCTGGTGAGACGATGCGGTGATGGTACTAGGCACGTCACACCGGAGCGTCCAATAAAGTGGGACATATCCAGGTAACGATAGTCATCAGGCCTTCGGGAAATGTGAGAGAGTGGTGAGAAAAACAGCACATTTTTTATTGTTATTTAAGCTCACCAAAAATACAAAGCTCCAACGGCAAAATCTGATCTTCTCTCTGTGATCAGACCAAATATACCATCACCCGTTAGATTTGCATATGATGTGCCCCATTCTCCTCTCTCAGCTGAAATACATTTTTATTTAGTTAAGTTTTTAATCCTTTCTTAATTGTACATTAGTTACTTGTACGTATACATGGGTTAATGCAAATACTTACACGATTCCACTTGAACTGTGCAGTTTATAACCTTGCAGAGTGCGAATAGCATTCTTACTTCGGTACCGTCCAAATGTGCGGTGCCTTGTGCATTGCTGGGACTTGTATCTTTTAGTTGAGGCTCACGTTCCTAGAAAAGAAAAAGAAGCCAGTGACAGATTTAAGTCAAAAGCAGGTAGTTAATGCAACTCGTAACTATGTATCTATATTTGTATATATGTAAATATGAATGAGTCAAAAAGTGATATTATAGAAGGATCATGAGTCAAAAATCAAATACGAATAATGAACTTTCAAAATAATTCGGAATTTTGTGCAGCTCAGAAATTTCTGACAAACTTGGAGTTATATTCGGAAGAAATTCTTCACTTCCGAAGAAGTTACGAAGCCACTCAGTAACTTTGGAAAAATTTTCGGAGTTTTGCGAAATTTGACGGACTAACAAATTTTCGTTTATTTCGTAGTTTTTCGGGAGTGATTTAAACTACTTCGGAGTTATTCGATCTTTTTGGGAGAGACAGAGATTTCAAAATTAGATAAAACATACTTGAAATATTTTGACGTGATGATGATACAATGTGCGATAAGCCCACATCCCACCTACTCACCAAAAGCCAAACGCATCAGAACAACACCCTTTTTCAGTTTTAGCAATTTGAAATAGTTATTCATGTGCGTAGACCTTATAGTTTTCCAATAAGTTTTCAACAAATGGCTAGACAACAATAGATCCTTTCAGGATTATAAATTTGAAAGATTTCATGGAAAGAAAAGGAGGAAATTAAGATTGAAAAAAATACAAGCCGAATACGCTATTTTTAATTAGAACTTGACCCAAAAAGTTATTTCATGTTTTTCGGAATTAAAACAAAATTTTCGGAGTTGACAAAATGTTTTATTTTATTTTTATTTTTTATTAATATAAAGCAAGGGAAATATTTAGGTGATTTTCCAAGCAAGTCTATAAGATCATTGGTTGAATCCATTTTTGGAGTATAAAATATCATATATGGGTGTTTCCATCGGAAGGTCTACCGCGTAAAAAAAAAAACTAAAGCCCTATATCTAACGTATTTATGGGCCAATTTGTCTGCTTTGTTAAATACATACCGGCTAGGAATGTTAATCCCGGGATCTCAGAGTTTCGGTCTTTTTAAAGTCCCGAAAATCCCGGAATTATTTGCCTAGAATCCCGTTATTTTTTTCAAAATTTTCATTTTTATGCAGAAATGCGTCTAGATGCTCTAGTAATATTTCTGCATCAAAAAGAAAATTAAAAAAAAAATGTCGCTTACGTTATTTTGGCTGTTAGGGGTCGAAAAATATTTTTAAAAAAATCATGACGTCAGAGAAATGCCCATTTATATGCAGTTAATTACGTGTATTATGAGGTAGACTTTTATAAAAAAATTAAAATTTTGGATAACCAAAAGGAATATAGAGAAAACTGGTCGAATTATTTCTGTCAGCAGTATTATGAACTTCTTTCAACCAGAAAATAATTTTTTTATTTAATTTTTTTTTTCATCAAGCTTTTTTCGACATAACTTAATTTACTTTATCAGNCTGCTTTGTTAAATACATACCGGCTAGGAATGTTAATCCCGGGATCTCAGAGTTTCGGTCTTTTTAAAGTCCCGAAAATCCCGGAATTATTTGCCTAGAATCCCGTTATTTTTTTCAAAATTTTCATTTTTATGCAGAAATGCGTCTAGATGCTCTAGTAATATTTCTGCATCAAAAAGAAAATTAAAAAAAAAATGTCGCTTACGTTATTTTGGCTGTTAGGGGTCGAAAAATATTTTTAAAAAAATCATGACGTCAGAGAAATGCCCATTTATATGCAGTTAATTACGTGTATTATGAGGTAGACTTTTATAAAAAAATTAAAATTTTGGATAACCAAAAGGAATATAGAGAAAACTGGTCGAATTATTTCTGTCAGCAGTATTATGAACTTCTTTCAACCAGAAAATAATTTTTTTATTTAATTTTTTTTTTCATCAAGCTTTTTTCGACATAACTTAATTTACTTTATCAGATATGTACACACTAAAGTACTATTAAATGGATATAAATTTAATTACTGTCTTTCGTTTTGTTACTTATGAAATAATTTTCACTTTAAATTAAAAATACGTTTCAAGCCCATNAGTCTTTTTAAAGTCCCGAAAATCCCGGAATTATTTGCCTAGAATCCCGTTATTTTTTTCAAAATTTTCATTTTGATGCAGAAATGCGTCTAGATGCTCTAGTAATATTTCTGCATCAAAAAGAAAATTAAAAAAAAAATGTCGCTTACGTTATTTTGGCTGTTAGGGGTCGAAAAATATTTTTAAAAAAATCATGACGTCAGAGAAATGCCCATTTATATGCAGTTAATTACGTGTATTATGAGGTAGACTTTTATAAAAAAATTAAAATTTTGGATAACCAAAAGGAATATAGAGAAAACTGGTCGAATTATTTCTGTCAGCAGTATTATGAACTTCTTTCAACCAGAAAATAATTTTTTTATTTAATTTTTTTTTTCATCAAGCTTTTTTCGACATAACTTAATTTACTTTATCAGATATGTACACACTAAAGAACTATTAAATGGATATAAATTTAATTACTGTCTTTCGTTTTGTTACTTATGAAATAATTTTCACTTTAAATTAAAAATACGTTTCAAGCCCATTTACTTATTATTTACTATATTGATGCAATTTTTTCATGTTAAGTCGTTGAAATAATAAATATCTAAATGCCAGGATCCCGGGATTGAACCAACGACATCCCGAAAATCCCAGGATCGTAAAAATCGCAAAATTAACATCTCTAACACCGGCTATGTAAGTAGTAACATTTTGACGTAAAACGATCTTTCTAGGTGGCGCCGAGGTCAAAATATTTTGAAAAACTGTATTTATGGTCCGATGTGGTTCGAATTTGGCATATGTAGTTGAAACGTAACAAATCATAGATTTCCAAAAAAATTACCTTTAATTGGCGCTGAAGACAAAACATAAAGTATATTCGACATAAAACACATGTTTTATTTGCGTTAAAAATTTAATCAAAAGCAAAATTAACGGAAATACAACGATGGAAATTTATGTCACGTGACGCCAAGTAACGTTTCACACTTGGGATTGTAAAAGAGATTTTAAACAAGTTTCATTAATTCAAAAAACTCTAAAAACAACTAGAATTGCTCCAAATCA